TATTAGGTCCCCTCTCAGCCTTCTCTTCTTCAGGCTGAACAAGCCCAGCTCCCTCAGCCTCTCCTCATAGGAGAGACACTCCAGCCCCCTCATCATTTTTGTAGCCCTCCGCTGGACTCTCTCCAGTAGCTCCTCATCTTTCTTGAGCTGGGGAGCCCAGAACTGGACACAGTACTCCAGATGAGGCCTCACTAGGGCAGTGTAGAGTGACCTGCTGGCCACACTCCTCCTAATGCACCCCAGGATCCCATTGGCTTTCTTGGCAGCCAGGGCACACTGCTGGCTCATGGTCAACCTGTCGTCCACCAGCACACCCAGGTCCCTCTCCACAGAGCTGCTCTCCAGCAGGTCCGCCCCAAGCCTGTACTGATGCATGGGGTTGTTCCTCCCCAGGTGCAGGACCCTGCACTTGCCCATGTTGAACCTCATCAGGTTCCTCTCTGCCCAACTTTCCAGCCTGTCCAGGTCACGCTGAATGGCAGCACAGCCTTCTGGTGTATCTAACGAAGTGCACCCTTAAGGCAAAGCTCTTTTTCACCATTTTTGAGAGCACAGCACCAAAGCTGTATTTGCCTACGTGAGATTTCTCTCCAGCCTTCAACAGCCGCTTGTTTGAAGAGCAGACGTACACATATGCACACGCACGCAGGGCATCTGCCCACTGCAAATCTCTGCAATAACAGCACTTGCTAGTTGTATTTGCCCTTTTTTATTCCGTGTCTGTCACTACAGTCGTATTTTGATAGGGTAAACGAATACAACCCTTTACAACTAAACCCCTGTATAGCCAAAGCAATTAATTCCACACCTCCAGGTATGACTGCTGCCACAGATAAACCACGTCCATTCTTAAGGAACACTTGGACTGTCAGTTACCGTTTCTGGTGTGTTAAGGACAGGGAATGGTTCAGCTGGTGTCTCAGAGTCCTGTGGTGATGAAGGCTGTGGAAAGAGGCACCCATATTTTCTTCTCAGGAGAGCGAGTTCTTCTCTTAAGCACCCATCTTTTCTGCTTAGAAGATTGATTTCTTCTCTTACGAAGGCTGTGTCACAAGCTAAGTGCTTGAGCCGCGACTCCAGCCTGGCCTTCTCTTTGATGTCAGTAGTTCGGGCACCCTGGAATTCTGCTCCCTGTAAGGAGATTAAAAAAAAATAGCTCCTATAAAACATGGTAGAATGAATGGTGGAAATTTATTTCTAGTGGGAAAGTGAAGGTCTGCAAGAGGCAGGACAGCTTCGTGACTGCTCCACTCCTCAGTCAGAACTACTTGGAAGTCAGAGTGAGGAGCCACTTAGACTGTCACAGGTGGCTGCCTTATTCCCTAACACAGAACAAAGAAAACAATTCATTTGGCTGTTTCCATGTAACAAAGGAATAATTTTGACTTGCTTCAAGACGTTTTTTAATTAGAAACAAGGTGAGTTTGTTTCAGTACTAGAAAGCAGCTAAGTAGGAAATTACAGAGAAGCTATGGTATGGCCTACTTCAGGATCAGCTCATTCATCTCCCTTTCTACAAGGCCCGGAGCAGCCACTCAGCCGCTGTGCAGTATTAGCCCGAACTGCTGACTGTGGAGCAGGCTGCGAGACCACAGAGCTGGCGGGGGCCAGATGACCCCTTACTTGGTTCTGAGCAGCCCCAAACCTGCGTGTAGTGCTGTGGCTAAAAGGCTTACCAGATCATTCTTCAGTGAATCCAGCTTAGTTTCCAGCTGCTGCTTTTCAAGGCAAAACTGGTTCAGCTGCTGCAGCTTGCTGGTGTTCTCCTTTGTCAGCTTCATCAGCTGCTGCTGCAGGTCTACAATTCTTCCCTAGAAAGATAAAAATTTGAGCTGGGACGAGAGAGGGCAAGAAGTGCCAAGTGGGGAGGGCATGCTAGGCACAACGTCAGTGTCACAGAAGAGAGGCAAACAACAGACTGATCCTGCCTACACCGCCTGATGCCACAGTACCTTTAGTGCAACCTGTTGCTGAGCTTTTTTTTTTTTTTTAAATATGGCAGATGGCTAAGTAGGTAAAGCAGTTTTAGGCAACAGTGTGGGAAAGAGAAAGCCATTAGGTACGCAGTACTTCCCTATGTGCCCTTCTGTGAGGACAGCGTAAGAGCGCTGGTTGCTTGCACCACTGTAGCTGAGCCGTGGGCCCCCCCAGACAGAGACATGAGCCAGGGCTGCCCTGCACTCAAACGGCTTGTCACCAGAGGTGGTGGGAGGAGGCAGTAGGTGCCGAATG